TCCTGGCTCGGCTCCCGCCCTGCTAGGGCCTGGAGGCGCCTAGTGAAGTGCACCCCACACCCCACACCCTCCCTCCACTGCCACCGCACACCTCCGCCCCCCAAGCCGACAGCCAGGCTAGCCTCTCCCCTCCGCAAATGTCACTGCGCCCAATTAGCTTAATTAAACCAGCTCTGGAGCAGGGGGACCCCTCCTTGGACAACACCCGGCTCCCACTCTCAGTTGTCAAGGGGGAGGGACAGCACCACAGCTTCTGGGCAAAGAGGCCCCCTGATCCCCCTGCTTTCCTCTCCTACCCCCACCCACAGTTGGTGACACAATCTGAAGGGTAGAGGGAAAGAACCACAGTGAGACAGTCAGAAGAAATAGGGAGAAAAACAATCACAGAAGGAGAAAATTAGAGACAGAGTGAGGAAGAGAGAGAAAAAAGAGACTAAGAATCAGAGAGAAAGGGAGAGAGAGGGAGAGAGAGAGATGGAAAAACAGCGAGAGGGAGAGCGAGAGAGGGAGAGTGAGAGCGAGCGTGCAAGCAAGGAAGCCAGAGGGAGGATTTTATTTTATTCCATGTTCCCATTTCTCGGCTCGTTTCCTCCCAGACTCATCGCCCCCCCTCAACTGAGCTAACCCCCCCCACCGAAGGTCGCTTTGGCCGCCCCCCCCACTCTTCCCTTTTATCTTGGCTGTCTCCAGCAGCCGGTGGGGGTTGTGGGTGCCCAAAGCCCCGGGATTTGCCAGGATCGGAGAAGCGCAGACAGCAATTTGTCTGGGATCAGAGGGGGGAACACCCAGCACCCCTGACTGCCCAGCCAAACCTCCTTCCTCCTCCCAGCCCCTGTCTGGAAGGAGTCTGGACTGAAGCAGTCGACAGGTCCTGGGCTGGGTGCAGGATGTCGGGTGCTGCTGGGGTGTGCTGGGAGGGGGTGGCTCAGAGGCACAGGGGTCAGGGACTGAAGGATGTCCCTGGAAAGAGCTAGTGGTTGGGCCCAGAGGGGTGAGGAGATTAGGTGTCAGAGTTCAAATGACTCCCCCAACCATCCTTGGACTTTCCCTGGAAGCTTCACACACTCCCTCCTCCAATGTCCTCTCCGAGGCTCAGGCCTTGCTCTCTCTAAGCCCACCTTTAAGGGTGTTGGCCTCTCCTCCAGGGAGGCCCTTGCCCCCTCCCACTGTGGCCTAGGACTCCTTCCCCCCAGCCCCTCTGAGGCCCACCCTCCGGGTGTCAGCTGCCAGCTCCTGCTTGTCTGTCTGAGTCAATCACTCTTGCCACCCCCGCCCCCCTTCACCTGAGCTGGGAGGAGAGATGGACGGGAGGAGGAATGAGGGGGGCGATAAATATGTATGACGAGCGGGTGGCGGCGGCATTAATAACCCGGGATCGCAGTGCTGCGGGGATGGGGACCAGGCGGTGGAGATTCTAGCCCAGCAGCTCGACTCTGCCGCTCCTGTCCCCTGTGGACACATGGGTGTGTGCAGAGGGGGACACCCATGCTGCCCTGCCTCTTTATCGACCCAAAGCTCATCCTGCAGGCCAGTGTGGGACCCCCCAGGGACCATTCATAAACAACTCACACATATGCACCCCCGAGGGGAACGCGATGAGACCACACTTACTGTATCATTGTGGATACACTGACACACACCCTTGATAAAACTTGACACATGGACAGAAGATGATAGGAGCTCACACAGGAAAAGTGACACCCTCAGAGAATCACACACAGCCACCCTCAGACATACAGCCAACGCAGGCATACAACCACACCAGCCACACAGACACAACTACCACAAACGGAAACACAGCCTCACTTAGAACAACATAGACACAGCCAATTCAGGCACATATACGCAGCCACCACAGGCTGATAGACATTCAGCCACCACAAGTAGGCGGACATACAACCTCCTGAGACTGATACACAGGGGCATACAAATACACACACACGTACAGCCACCATGCACAGCCTGAGACCTGGGACATGGCCATACCCTTGTGCCCCATTTTCCTGAAATACTTCCATACAATCACTGGTTCCTTATTTTATCTTTTTTCGTATTATTTCTGGCCCATGAAATTTATAATGTGTATTAATCTGTGTACTTTATACCCTAGCCAGACACATACATACTCATCACCATAGGTTGAGACTTGAGTGTGCCCGTGCACGCGTCCATGCATGCGCACACACACGCGCACACACACACACACAGTCATCACTCCAGGTAGACAGACACACACCCACCCTCCCAGGCTAACAGAAACGCAACCACCCCAGACTGACACACACGGTACGCCCTCCCCCCAGTCAGAACCCACACGCAGTAAGGCCACGGTAAACGGCCACAGCCAGCACAGTCTGACTGACACACTCTGACACGCACGGCTCCTCTCCCTCCTGCTCCCCTCGCTGGAGCGGCATCTCCATATTTCTTCCTCTCGCGCGCGCGCGCGCGCGTGTCTCCTTCACTCCCGGCCACCCCCAACCCCCGCCCCAGATAATTGATGGCCCGGGCCTGGCCCGGCCGCTCCCGCCTCTCGATCCATCTTGTATTCGCGCCCGCGCTGTCTCCTAGATCGGCCGCCACCTGAGACGCAAGGAGACGAGTAGGGGCGGGCAGGGGCGGTCCTCCAGCCCCGTCCCAGCCCAGGAAAGGACCACCAGGCGGCCTCCCCCACATTAGGAGCGCTGGAGGCAGAGAGGGGTGCTGGCGTAGCCCTCAAACCTCAATCCACAGTGCCCAGCCTCTCCACTGCCCTCAGCCCCGTCCGTTTCCCTTGCCCCTCCCGGCAAGGGAGAAGAGGGTGGGGGGGGTGCCTTAGGCTCGGCAGGGTGTTGGGAGGTCTCACTCTTTATTGATACTGGACACTGGCAGTGGTCATGGCCTCACTTGCTTGAGTTCAGCGTCTCCCTGGTCCATTACTCCCAACCAAGCCCAGGCCCACAGCTCCACACTCCCTATTCAGACCCACACTGGCTTTGGCTTTTTTGACTTTATGAGTTCTCATCGGAGTTCTGTGAGAACACAAGGATTCTCAACGTCATCTCATAGGTGTAGAAACTGAGGCCTAGACCACATGGCTTGAAAGGGTTGCAGGTCCACTCCAGAACGCACTTCCTGAGCCACTGCCTCGTACGGCCCGATTCCATTTGGTCTCCTAGTGGCTGTGGATAGGGGTCTGCGTGGCCCTGGCGGGGTGGCCAGAGACAACCCCAAGGTCTCTCTTTTCCTCTTTATCTACAGGCGGTCACTGCCCAGATACCAGAATCCGGGAGGCCGCAGTACCTGGAGTTGCGCCCCGCCGCGGCCGGAGGGGGCGCCCCTGGGCAACAGCTCCCGGCACCGCCGAGGTCTTCCGAGGGCTTGGGCACCGCCCGCGCCTGGAGC